ACCACATAGAAGATACCTATCATTAATGTAACCCACAGCAAGACTTATTGGTGATGAGTTGAATAATTATTTATTTAGCCAGTTTGAAGGGTAGAAACAGTTTAATGTTAACTGATGTAACACACCCTTATTATATCCATACTCGAAATACTGTTATTGAGAATGGCTTATGCGCACAACTAGCTTCTCTCTATTACTACAAACCATATATATATATATATATATATAAAATGTTAGGCAGAGAGATATCTCAGTCATTTTATCTTAACAGCTGTAATAGTTGGTGAAATAAAGAAGAAAACAACAACATCGACAATAACAAATAACCATATATGTCTTGAGGAGACATTAAGTTTCTTCTCAAACAACAGCAACAACAATAACAACAACAACAATGACAACAGTGACAATTAAAATAATATGTTAGCATAATTTAAATTCGTTTAGCTATCACATATCACATCGCTTGCATCATTCGTTGTTGTGAGTAAAAATTTTAAAAAGGGTGATAGTATGGGGATGAAGTTAAGAAATCATGGTGGTGGGAGTGATGGTGGTGGTGGTGGTCGACGTCCTTCTTAGGAGGGAACAGCTAGCATATACATGACATTATGATGTAGAAAAAGGAAGGGAGAGAAAAAGCGGAAACTTGAGAAGTATCTCTTATATCTTATAAAGGTGTCGCAAACACGCTTGTTTGTGCGTATGTGTTAGTGTGCGAATAGCCGTTAGAAGAACTAAATGAAGACAAAGAAAAGGAGTAAGAAGTGAAGAGATCACGTTTTATTCGAAGTAGAAAAATTGTTCATGTTTTGGCGGGTTCAAGAACCAATTTTTTATGTTTATTTTTATTCTTGTGCGCTTCGTGTGGAACATATGACTGCAAGTTTGTTTGAAATTTAAGTAGCAGTGGTGTTGTTCTTTTAAACTACTACCTTTATTCACAATTCCGCAATGTTTGTATTTCCCCCTTATGATGGCTGGACCCTATTTATTGATTGTTAACTTTTCTAACTCATCAGTAAATTAGTGTCTTTCAAGATCATTTAAAACGTACATATGTGGAATGGTGCTTAAGCTTTTTCTCTGTAGAATCGAGACAGTGAAAGTTCTCTTGTCAAAGAGTCTCTTTTTTGTACTTCTATCCCCACGTGCCAGTAATATGGTGTCGTGATGACTGTCACTGCGACTAGCATTTAGAAGATAAAGCTGGCAAAACTAAGTAAAGAATTTCGTCAGCGTAAAAGGTTGGTAAACAAACAGGTTGCATTACCTATCATATTACTTTCTTTACCTCACACTCAGCCTTATTTCTTTTCTGGGATTACTATCAACCAGTCAACTAGACAAGATTTAGGAGTATGTCTGTCAGCCGGGAGGAATTCAAGGTGAAATTTCTGAATACTGTTGGTGTTTCTTCTTTTTGCAGTTTTGTCATATATTCCCAAGGTGATATGAAATGAATTTTATTATCAAGATAAGAATAGAATTTGAACAGTATGGCACAGTATAACTTTTTATTAAATGCTTTTATTTTGACATCAAACAATATAGTAGTAATACTGATATGCTCATGGTCACGTCACTGTCTTCACACGACTTCTTTACTTGCTTGATGTTGGTAATTTGGTTCCGCTTGTTCTTCAGTGCAGTTTTCTATGTGTCTGGAATTAGTGTTGCGTTACTGCTATTTAAAGTATACGGTGTTAACTTGATAAACAAAGTTTCAGGGATTCTGGAGGCATTTTAGTCCAACCAAATGACTCGGAGATGAACTTTATAGGCTTAAGGATTAGATAGACGCATTTAAGCAGATACTATGTAATAACTTTGGGTTCGATTACAGTGGTCAAACAAGCAGGTTTAAGTCAGTTAGATCGATGGATTACAGAAATTTAACTAGAGTTAGAGTGACTGACCCTGCTAAGTTAAATGATCTTGAATAAAGTTGTAACATCGCTATTCATTCGCTTGCATAATCATCACTTAATAGGATAAGATAGGCTTAAAGTAATGAGAAGTAATAAATTTAAGTGGAGAGAAAGATTAATCACTGATTCTAGTCAAAACGCAACATCTAAGATGAAAATGTTGCAACACCAATTCTAGGTATATAGAAAATTGTATTAAATAACAGTAGGGACTTAAGCAAGTTATGAAATCGTGTGAATATTAACAATAAATTTTGCTTAAAACGTCATCTAGTTGGAAGCCATGACTAGTAGTGTGCAGCAGGTTGAAGGTGAGTCAGTAATTCGTTGAAGAAGATGTTGTAAAGTAGTCAAACTTTGTCATGAATTGGCAGAAGTTCGAATTCATGGACCATTGGATCGGGTCCCAGTGGCTTAATGGTCTAAGAGCTAGCTCGCCTTGTAACCAGAAGGTCCTGCGTTCGAATCCCTGTGGTGGATGCGTACTGACGAAGGGTTTCAAGGGACTAGGACGAAACAACTGGCTGTCCATGTTTTCCAATGGTTCTCTAACTGATATCAGCTCATGATGAAATTCTCCAACCATTAACAGTCTTACCATGCTTTCATGAATAATTCAAGAATAGAATGTTTGTACTATTATGGACCATGATTCCTTACTAATTTACTTGACATAAAATATACAATAGAACAGTATAATTTATAAATTTTATCCCTTTTATACAACTTCTTCACTTCACTTACGTGATCTTTTATTATGTCAGTTGTTTGAAACTGATTGTCCTATTACTCTTATTGCAAGTGTTAATCGTTCATTCAACAGATATTATTTTGCTTTCGGTTGTATAAATATTCACTTAGTATTCAGTGGAAGGAAATTATGATTTATCAGACAGACTCAGTCCTGAATTTCACACATTTTGCAACTCATCAATAGGATGGATGTACGCAGAATCTTCAAAATATATTCATAATCTTTGAGAGATTCTAACTTTGCTTATTTATTGATGAAGACACTAAGGGACTGATTTTTTAGTCATTGAATACTTTTATTTCAAAAAAGACAAACATAATGAAAATGGTATTGTTTATTTGGTTTCAAGATTTCAACATGAACTGACATCGGTTAGACAACCATTGGAAAACCAACAGGGTGTACTGGAAAGCTGTTTCGTCAGCCTAGTTTGGCACTGTCTCTTCGGCAGTGACAGGGTTCGAACTCAGGATCAATACAAGAAGTTATATGCTCGCACCACTAAGTACAAAAATTCTACAATACCGTATTTAGCCGGTATTTTATGTGATGGAGACACTGTTAGACGTGAAACATATAAGAAGTTACTATGTAATTAGCAAAGTGAATCGACCCTTTCATCGTTCATCTTTCTGTAATTTTATGGTGTCACCGTTTCTATCGTTTAATTATAACTTAGCTGTTTTATTTCAGTTGTTATTACTATTATCACTATAATTTTATACTTTATGCATATTTTTCTGCTTATCGCATACTGTAATTTGCTACATAGCTGCTATAATAACGTTTTGTTATTATTATTATTATATAATGTTTATTTTTTGTAGTTTTGAGTAAATTAGATGCGATATTGTACTGAATGCCGAAAATTCCTTCCTGTATCATTAATACCGTTTTCGGAATAAAACAAAAATTATTATTATCTCCCATTTGCAAGGCCAGCGAACTCGTTGACCATTAAGCCAATGGGACCCGATCCGATCCATTAGCCAGCCCAAGGATTCAATCTTCTGCCAATTCACGATATAGAGTGACTGGCATTAACCAATGTCATTGGTGGAGAGTATTTGTCCTCACACGCGACCTGCTGTGCCAAAATGGTCACGATTTCCCACTGGAAGCCCAGGTAACTGACTACCCCCCTGAATAGGGCCAGTCACTAGTGAGCATCACAATGGTTTGGATGTTTGTTTTCAATGGCCTAATGGTGTACGAGTTCGCTTACCTTGTAAATAGAAGGTAGTGGATTCGAACCCTGACAGTGGGGTGGGTGCGTACTGCCGGAGAGTTAGTGCCAAACTAGGTTGACGAAACAGTTGTCCAGTACATGGTGTTGGCTTTCCAGTGATTGTCTATCAGATGTCAGCTCATGATGAAATCCTGTAACCAATCAATCAAATCCCTACAAACCATCACTTGAATATCGTTTATTTGTTCAGCGTTTAAGTTTAATCATATCAGAGTGCCGATATAAAGTCTTTCAGATTTTGTTTCGCATAGAATGAGATAACCGAGTTTTTTCTGGGTTTGAGGGAACCTATGCAGGGACAAGCTCTGCATGCTGAACGATCATAGTGACACAGTTTGTCAAAATAACTCAAACTAAAGGATACCGTGTATTGGCTGTGAGCTAAAGTATACATTTCAGACCAGGAGATTGAGGTCAATTAGGTTATCAAAAGATGAGAATTTAGCTAGTGATCAACAATCAAGATAGATATTTAACATACAGGAAGAATTAAACAGTGCACTAGTGAACTAACATCCAGCCAGATAAAAGAGTGGGGCAGAGTTATATTTCTAAAGCATAATATAGGAAGGTGGATGGAGAGATTGATCACTGCATCTTTGTTCATCAAATTCAAATCAAACACTTGTAATAGAACTGACTCGAAACCATTGCCAGACATCTGATAAAATGTTTTTCGCTAATAAAATGGAAGGATATAGAGTTATGGAGGTATATTATCAAAATATGAAGAAGATTATGGCAGTGTGTTTGTATGATTATGAACAGTAAAATTTCCTGTAAACGTCAACCGAATAGAAAGCTGTATCAAATACAGTTATTCTGGTATGTAGTTATACTCTACTACAGTGCTCCAGTTCTATATTAATGAAGATTCTTTTTGTACTATTTCACAGAAAATGACACATATTCATGCATCTGATTCTTCAGTAAGTGAAATTCAGATTTTCGAGGTTAATTCAAACTTCCCAAAAAAATTTTTAGCAATGACATAAAACAAAAATTTGAAGTATAAGTTATGCAGAAGAACATGCAATAGATATTTAAGACTAATGTGTTAACTTACACTGTTCTGAGACTGTGGCACAGTTGTGCGGTCAGGCAGAAACACTGGTTCATTTTCTTTACACAGATGACAAAATATGCTCTAAAGAAACAAACAATAACAAAAAAGAAAGATGTATGAGGAGGGAAACTGAGAGGAAAAAATGTTCAAGGCAAGCTGAAAGATTCAAAAGTGAATTCCTTGTTCAGTACAGAAAATATGTGTGTACATGCTTATACAGAGGCATTAAATATTATTTTCAAGCACTTATTGAATTCTTTGAGCAGAAAAAAATAAGACTGCCAAGAAGGAGATAAAGGTAGAAATATAAAATTTAACAAAAAATAAATAGAAAACTTGAACTTGTCACGAACAGCAATGACAAAGTAAGGCATTCGTTAAAGCTATGTGAGTTTTAGTCAGTACTCAGTGAACTTATGAATTTATGTCATTCCTTCAAATAGTCCATAATTCTGATCAAAGATAAGAATACGCAAATAAGAATAGTGTAATCGGCATCAGTGTTCACCTGGAAAGAACACTTTGAGGATCGATTCAATTGGCCCACAGCCATGCTCAACCTGCCGAACATCCAACACCTCCCTGAATGGGATATAGACACAGGCCCTCCGTCCTTAGCTGAGGTCACTGAAGCTGTTACTACACTGAAACGAGACAAAGCAGCAGAACCTGATGGAATGACTCCAGAGGTATTTAAGTACGGTGGAGACAGTTTAGTCTCTGCGTTAACTGAGGTACTAGGCAGCGTCTGGGAATCAGAGGAACTCCCGTCGGGTCACTAATTATCCCCATATACAAGAAGGGAAACAAGTCTTCTTATGATAATCACAGAGGGATTAGCTTGACTAATATAGTACCCAAAGACCTAGGCTCAATAATACTGCGTAGACTAAGTGGTGCTCGGGAAGCACAAACACGAGAAAACCAGGCAGGTTTTAGGCCAGGTAGAGGGTGTAATGATCATAGCTTCACCCTTCGACAGATTCTAGAACATAGGCATTATTACCGGCGTCCAACAATCATTATATTTGTTGACCTAAAGGCGACATTCGATTCTGTAGACTGAGAGGTATTATGGCAATGTTTGTCTGTTAAGGGAATGCCGAGGAAATACATTGCACTGATCAAGGCACTCTACTCTATGGATAAAGAGGGATAGTTTCGCATTTGCCAGTTTACGCCATCTCTGGCGTAGACGTGATATCCGGCTGGCTATCGACCGAAGGGGGGTGTAATGCTCATCAATCCGCTCCGTCCTCCTTTATGGTTGTGAGACCTAGCCATTGAGAGTGGAAGACATCAAAAGACTAGCTGTCTTCGATCATAGGTGCCTGAGTTCTATCTCCGGTGCGAAATGGTATAATAAGGTGAGCAATATCGAGTTTAGGCGCCGAGTGCTAGGTAAGCAGGGGAAAACAATCGACTAGGCTGTGAAATTACATTGACTGAGATGGTTAGGACATGTGTTACGCATGCCTAGTCATCGCCTTCCTCGACGGGCTCACAAATGGTCAGGCTGGAAAAGAGCTGGCGGCGGTCAAACCAAAACATGGCACCAGTCAATGAAATCTATAACAGTTAGTCTAAGCCACGTAGGAAGGTGTAGACTTCCTGGTTGGGGTCCTCGGGACGGTGAAAAGCAATGGTTGGAAACAATTGGTGACATGGCTCAAAATCGTTCTCAATGGTTAGCGCAGATGTATCCACTCCTTGTGACTTATGATTTTCAATGAAACTGTTTTGTTCTTCGTTATTACTATTCCTTTGTCTCACACCTCTGTTTACTGTGTATATTATGCATTTCTCCTACTTTATTTTCTTGCTTTGTGTCGTACATGGAGTGTGGTAACTTGAACTGTTGCACATCGGTGCAAAGTTCTCTATCAAAAACAGACAAACAGATCAGTGTTCACCTTAAACTATATGAGGAGAGTTACCGACAGTCCTATCCTCAACTTCCAGTTAGATATGCAGCCTTCCAGCTCCTTGAAGGTTTCATTTCTCTTTCATTACATAGCCTGAATATATATATATATTTATATTGGCTGCTGAAATCTTTTGTTATCATTCCACATGGTAACATTTTCTACAGCAGCTTAGTGGTTGTTTATGGAATCTATCACCACATCAATCAATAATCGCTAAGGAGCACAAATGGTCACATCTATGATATTAATTATTATAGGAACAAATTAGTTTGATTAGGAACCAATAACACTTTTGTTGGAGTTTTCATTAGTCTCCATGTAGTTTACAGCTGGTAACGTGAGGCTGTCAGATTTAATTCCTGCTGCCGTTAAGCGTGATCTCTGATGAATAGTTCTTGGCTAGGACTCACTGATTCCCACTGATTCTCCAAATGATACCTCTTTTTCTTATTATAGCTTGATTCCACACCGTATTTTTTTTGTACACGTATGGAATTTTCAGCATGCGATATCGGTAGCTTAAATTTGCAGGCCAACCATGGATAGCAAGTGTGCATCGGCAGGGGATCGAACCTCGGACCATTTGCATGGTCAGCGAGAGTCTTAACCACTTTACCACCGACGCAGTGAAAAGAAAATGTTTTAGTTGAATAATATTAACACTGAGTAAGAAATAATCCATTTCACCAGTTTCTCAGGCATGCACAAAACTCAGAACGATAATCCCCATATCCATTCGATGACCAGCAACAACGATAATAAAAATAATAATAATAAGTGATCTTTCTACGAGTATACGATGACAGCAGAGAAGTAATATATCATTTTTGTCTAGTCCAAAATAAAGTAAAAAAAATATTCCGTGACTAACTCTATCTATAAATATGAAGCATTTTCATTCTTTCTTTCCTTTTTTTCATCAACTTTTAAAATCCGCAACTCATAAATCAATTTTTCCTTTATGCATATTGCAGTACTACTGGAATGCGAATATTTTGTTGGAAATATGCAATGGAAAAATAAGTCAGTTATTGCAACTCTTAAATTTCCAATCACTATAGCAAGATGCTATGTACTACTAATTGATGTGAGTAGATAGAGAGGACTCAAGTCACCTGTAATGACTACTAGCCAGATGCAAGTGTTTCGTATGCTCAAAGCTCACCTAGGCAGCAGTACCGCCGAATACACTGGGCTCAGAGATGCGAATAGGTTGGAGCCACTAGAAATTTGGCTAGTAACCTCAGCTATGTGATAATGCACAGAACCGGATTATACAGACAATAGCGTATATGTCATCATGTTGTCCTCTATGATGTGTTGTTGTTTGACATGATATCAAGCAGGTCATTTATTTTTATCTGAATGTTTTTGGTTTTCAAACGGAAATTTTCGATAATGTTATTACTTTGGACTATGCATATGGTGTCCAATAGTGTCCAATTAAAAATATCCAATACAGTCCTACAGGAGGTCAATCGCGCACCCGAATAGCTCAGTGATAACGTCTCTGACTATAGGCAGCACTGAGTGACGCGGGTTCGAATCTCAGAAGAGCCATGAGTTCCTTCAAGGTGACTGCAGATACACCTTGCTGACTGACTAGTGAGTGCCTACTAGCACTAGGTCTGGTCAAGGCTTCCTGTGGCCGATTGTCTCCAACCGTCTAATACCAATAATCTGACTTATTCAATTTGTAAATATCGACGCCGATGCTTCTCTAGTACTCTTATATAAATTTACCAATCGAAATAGGAATTCAACCTGTAATATCACTTGAATCTCTTGAACATTCTACCGAACAGACGAAATTAATCATTAATCGTTTTGAATATTCAGTAAAAAGACTTATGTTGCTGTGTGTTCGGTTAATATCTATCTTAGCTTTAGCGACAAATTCAAATATCCATTTAAAGATGTAGTTCATCGGCTTAAAATCAGTGGATTTCGAATTGAAATCTCACCTTCTTCAACATAGACATTTAAATGACATCATCAGTGCCCTTGGGTGTTGGTGACTCAACTGTAGAATGCTTGCTAGCCATGAGTTCACCTACAGACCGACTCATTTCTGAATCTCCTATAGGCAGTAGGAAGCCTAAAAACGAGGGACGGTTTGGAGTGGGGCTAGGCACTCCACCTTCTATGAAGACAAAACTACCGGTGCAGAAACTTTAAAGCCTGAAGCCTTTATTCCACTCGTAAAGTAAAGAAGGAGTTTTGCATACATATACCAATTAAATGTCCTTTGGCAAAAAGCTCGATTAAGTTTACATCACTTATATTAATGATTAGAGAACTGATAAAACATTTCTGGGATCATACGATATTTACCACAATCGGTTATTATGCATACAAATAGTTTAAATAGATAGCCTCAGGTTCTTCTTCGCTCAACAAAAAAAAGGCCAGACAACAGGGATTTGAACAAATAAACAGAGTGAACAGAATGACACAGATTAATATCTTTAAAAATACAAAACAAGAAACGCCTGTTTCTGAGATTTGCAGCCTTGTCCTGAGTATAGGATGAATAAACGGTTTATTTGCTCACATCAATTTTCCGACGTCTCACTGTTTCAACCGCCTACTCAGTCTCCTTCATTTTTGTCTAACACTCCATTTACTCAGCTTGTTTTCATAGTCGTTTATAATGTCTAAACGTTTTTATTTTTTATATGCCTTATCATGAATCGTGAGATTACCAACTGTTCAACTTTAGCAGGTCATTGTCATTTAAACCGGGATTTAGGCACACAAAAGATATTAGAATAGAAATTTGGAAAAAACGCACTGAGCTGCTAAAGAACTTAAGTAATATATATATATATGTTGTCGGTTGGATTCTTATCAGTGTAGCACTGCATCCTTTGGGAATTTATTGTTCTCCCTTCACTTCAATACCTCATTGTTTGATCCAGCTATCATATGGATGAAAAGTGCTCAGGTGTCTCTTTGTCGTTGCAGTGGTCATCCAACCAATGCTGCTAATATTCATTAATACGTTAAAGTCAACAAAAATAGGGGATTGAGAGTCTTTGGTATCGCGGAACCACAACGTCAGGACATTTTGCCTATCAGAATTCATCATTAGTGGGATTCATCATGTCAAGTGTTAAGAAAGATATTCACTGACGCCATTGGATGGCGGTGACGCCTCACGGCGAAATGGTAAAAGTTAAAACTGACGGGGTATCAGGTCCTAACTTGACCAATGGAATAGCTTTCAAAGTGAAGGTAGTAGGTCCCACCTCTGATGGGGTTGTCCCAAAACTAGTATGAAACAGCTATACCCTACTTCATAGTTTTCAAATGTTCTTTAAAAAAACGTCGATTCATGACGAAATCCACCTTGAAATATTAGTTGAAATTATAGGGGGAATCTCAGTGACTGTGTTATTGCCAGAAGTAGTTCTTATGCTGCCATATTTATGTGATATCAATTGAACAATCATGCTTTACTATTAGTCAGTAAGTGTTTTTGAATTAGATGAGTAAGTGGGTCAAATGACCTGTAATTCCCGATTTTAGTCCAGCATTTATCACTGGTGTTCAGTTATAATATCCGTTAACTGAATACAGACTCAAAGAGTATCATCAATTCTCGTCTAAAAATATATAAGACAATCGAGCTTCTTAGACAACACATTAAAACTACAGAGAAATTATAAAGTAAAGGTTTTTGTATTTCTCAATGAATGAAAAACAAAACGATATTGTTTTTACTCACATTTCGCTATTTAATGCTAATAGCTTTATCAAAGTATTTTTAAAACGGAATTTACAAAATCTCAGCATATATGTAACAAATAGTTAAGGGGTGAGAAAACGCATTCCGAAAACATGGACCTCGACAGTCGTCATTCCATATAGAGCAGAGACGTCAGATGATATCAGAACAGTACTCAATAAGCTCGACATCAGAGTTTTCTTCAAAACATCAGACACACACTGCGAAATAACCTTGTCCATATAAAAGACCAGATCCCTAAAGATTCACTATCTAATTGTGTCTATAAAATAAAGTGCTTGGAATGTGATGCGATATACATCGGACAAACATCTCCAGAAATCAAAATCAGAAGAAATGAACACCGTAGAGCATTTGTTCGACCACCGATAAATCCGGTTGAACTAGAAAAACTTGAAAAATCATCAGCCATAGGTCTACACGTTATAGAACCAGGCCACGAAATTGATTTTGACAATATTGCAATAATCCAGAAAAACTTCAGAAGTCACAAAGAATGTCTAATATCAGAAGCACTTCATACCAAGTGGAATCCAACTTGTCCGAACAGAAATGATGGACTAAAACAGAATTTGACCTAGTTACAACACCCCCACCACTTCCCCATGAAATGATGAAATCGACACGAATGTGATGAGCAATTTCGTTATGTAAATACCTGTTGCTTTTATAAATTTACACACTTATCAAATCCAACAATCTACATTTTTTTATCTTAACCAAGTGACAACGAAAAATGACCCCATACTGAGGAACGATGATTAAGTTGTTATATATATATGCTGAGATTTTGTAAATTCTGGTTTAATATGGCTACTTTGATAAAGCTATTAGCAGCACTAAATAGCGAAACGTCAGTGGAAACAACGATATAGTTTTGTTTTTCATTCATTGGGAAATACAAAAAAAACCTTTATTCTAGTGAATATCAAATACCCAATGCCCAAATTTTTTTTCCAAACTGTTAAAAGTGAACTTGGTTTGGACATATACAGAGATTTTGTTTCTGACTGACATCAACAATAAAACAACGCGCTGGTTACGTGTTTCATCCTAATTTAATAGTTGTTGCTAATTGTTCAACTTCTACCAATTCACATTGTAACACATTCAAACCTGATACCAAGTCAGTCTACAAACTTGCTTGACTATATATAGTCTGACAAACAACTAATCAACCATAATGGCAAATGGTGATAATTGTGTATCAGAAGCAATAAACAGACGGTTCCGTGGTGTGTTACTTTCAACAATTCCCCGGTTTATTTTTAGCTCATAATAAAAATCTACGAAACTCCTACAAATCTGACAAGTGAATATCTGAATGATAACTTTAAATTACTACTACTAGTAGTAGTATTGTCAGCATTATTAAAATAAAAGTGAAACCAAACTTACACCATGTAGTGCTGTATATTGTACATGAAATGAAGCCATCTGTTCTTCACCTTTTATTTCAACAGAGATCTGTAGACGAATGGCGCCAGATACTGCTGATTTGTCGGTTCGTTTCTCTGTAGATTGAAGATTTGTTTTGGTTTTTTTTCAAAATAAACGGTTGAATAGTAAAAATGACCAATAAATAATAATATACAAACAGTTTTAATGGAGACTTCACATGTATCAAGCAGTAATATACCTTGTGTTATACATTTTACCATCAGGAAAGAAATTATAATACTTTATTTCCAGACGTCCTTATGACTATGATATAAGATGAAGGAATAAGTAGGATACTATATAAATTGGTTGGGATGCACATTTTTGAGTACTTTTGAAATGGGTACTTATATGCAGTTAAGTAAAGCGTTTGTATCACAGAGTTGGAGTGATCTTCTCTAATGACTGTTGTTCGAACTGGTCCCCACGTTGGCGAGAGACAAGAAGACTGGCACTGCTTAATAGTGTACTGGTTGGCAGAAGATTGAAATACGGTCAGAAGCATTGTTGTACATTATATTAACGCTTATTTATAGACTTCGGCACTGATTAACCATTGTAAATCTGTTTTATTATCATATGGAGAATAATAGCTTGTGTTGTTCAACTGTTTTCTGTTGTTCTGCGTATTAGGCTTAGTGTTCAGGTCCAGGATCTCTGCGATCTGGATATTTGACAATTGTCCTAATAAAGAACTTCAGATTCTTAAAAAATTACTTGATAAGTTATAATTATGCATAAAAGTTCCTTGATAAAAATATAAAGTGACGGTCAAGGCTACAAGACAGTATGTTGAAAATTCCGGCGAAGTCTACTCTCTTAATATCAATGAAATAATAGCACAGCGTGTATAGAGTGCAGTAAAAAGAGCATTCAATACAAAAGAAGTTCATTTTGTTCGCAGGCACTTTGAATTTACATTGGGGGCGTAAACATAAACCACCCAAAATTAAACTTCTTAATGTGTAACTACTAGTTCGTTTGCTTCAATGGAGTCAGTTAAATTAGACAAATTCCTTATCGGATTTCAGAACATCATCTTGTATGGTTACGCAAGCGACGTACAAGATTTATTCTCAACTCTGTTTTTAACAGGCCTTGTAGATACTGAATGCAAAGTTAATGTTAACAATGAATTTACAGGTATCTATCGAATTCAGGGTAATTTTAATTTCGCCTTGTGAGTTTGCCTTCTAAATTTGATTAAAGTCATAGGAATCCACCTGAAGAAGCCGAACGAAATTCGTACAGCCACTTTTCTAACATTGGGCGTCATTACTTAATCGTACAAATTTGAAAGTTTCCCCCTCATCCGAAGCCATTTACAAGTCACCACTGTTTTAGCTATCTTATGGTTCTACCCTTCATTGTTGTTGAATTAGTCTTCTTATTAGTTTTTTCTGGTACCCATTAAGGTATCATGTATTTAGACATATTATCACTCATTCATGCTTTTTAACTGTAATGTATGATTTATAAACCTAATTACCTATATGTCATTTTTACATGTCTGTTTGTATTTCTCTCACCCCACACTTATTGATTTATGACCTGATTTTCTCTCACGCTACTTGTGACCTTTAAAATCCTATTGGTTGTTCACTGTCTCAATTTATCAATGACACTGGTGCCTCTCAAGGTCATTTTAAACAACTATATATGTATACATGCAGGTGTTGTCAACCTATTTTGACTGCTGTTTTGAGCAAATGAAAGCTCTCGTACCGACACCAGTCTTCTCTTCCGTCATTTTTCTGCCTGGCGGTATGGTCGTTGTTGTTGTTGACGTGTGATTAGGACAGATTAGCCAGCGCATTAAAGTTAGTATTCGCTCATAGTCTACGAGGTCGCGGTTTTGGTCATAACAATGCATTGGTATTCACGTCTCGATGTTAGTAAGAAAACTGCTTATGTTTTCAATAACAAGTATTCCTCAAGGATTATATCTAACTGTAGAACCTGATGAGGAAGTTGTCGAAAAGAATATTTCCTACACTATCGTATTTTTTGTCTTCTAAATGTTTATATAAGGCGTTTTGTGTTATAAATTATCCTTATTTTAATACACACATACAGGCTACATTGAGTGATTGCGTGTAAGTGGCTGAATATTAATAACATCATTATGACATGAAGGTACAAGTGAATTTCATGTTTTTGTTGGAAAAGGATGCAAAAAACTGAGAGTTGTTCAATTATCAGTGAGTAGCTTCATGAGGAAGCGTATAAAATTAAAATTAGAGCAGTAAAATAATAATTCTGCTAGAGTCTTCCTAACCTCATGTGAAATAATTCATCAAAACAAAATTGTCTCATTTTACTATACTCCTTTCGTTCATAGATTTTCCTAACAGCTATAAAATGATAATATACAATATGCTGATGTATCGTGACGGTTTCTTTGATCAAATAAATGCTTATACATAACGCCAATTTACACTTTGTTATGATAGCTTACTTTCCATCAGAAGTCAAAATTGTATAGTATAGTTATAACTGATATGATTATTGTTATTATATTATTATTTCCTTTCATTCCTAGAGGAACATAGGGCTTCAGCCGCACGTCTCCATTGCATTCGGTTCTCTGTTAGAGTCTTCACCTGGCTCCAACTCTGCCCACACGCTTTCATCTCCTCTTCACATGACCTCCTCCAAAGTCACCCTTGCACTGACGACCAACTCGCCGCTTCCCTTTCGGGTTCCACTTGAGCAATGGCTTGTCTAGTAATGTCACTCACTTGAAGGTTTCCTCAGAGTATGGCCAATCCATCTCCATTTCTTTCTGCCTATTTGTTTCACAATCGGTTCCTGGTTGGTTCGCTCATTGCCAGAGATCACTCTTGCTGATCTTTTCTGGCCATCTGATCCTGAGTAGTGTTCAGCGAAGACAGCTGTTTGGTGAAGGTCTGCAGTTTGTTTGAGGTGCTCCTCAGGACGTGGCGTCAAATCTCTGATCCGTATAGTAGCACTGACTTCACATTGGAGTTGAAAATCCGTACCTTATTTTTTATGCTGAGTGCTGTTGACCTCCAAACAGACTTGAGGGAAATGAAAGCTTGTCTTGCTTTCCCGATCCTTACTTTGATATCCTCATCAGTTCCGCCTGTAGTTGAAGCAATGCTTCCCAGGTAGAAATTATTGTTTCAACTGATATGATTATGAACAACAAATCGTGTTCTAAACGCCATCCAGTAAATAATACTGTTTCACTGTGTGACACATCTAATATGGAAGTACTTACTACCACGCTGCTTATGTAGAGATATGTTGTTAAAGCCCTACGTTCCAGACGTAATCCAAGGGAATAATAGTGAGTAATATAGTATATATGACTCGAGTGTTTGTATCTGTCTTAAAATCTTCGGTCTGGAGAAAGTTTCTGCGGTTTATCTATTTCAATATTACTACTAATACTGTGGTGAGAGCTGTCTGCTAGCCAAAACTGGTCGCCAGCAATAACCAATCACAGCAAACTTAGCATGGACGGATACGATTAGCAGATATATCAGTGGGTTGTCTAAGAAATGGGCAACAAAGAGATGACAGAAGAACCTTCAGCAGAAAAACAACCAATCAGAAGACGTTGTTTCTCTCCTAATAATAACGAATAATAATGTATATAAAAATCTAGAAATATCTCTTGATTTCCTCGATAAACGATCTGTTGCCTGGCCCTTGTCTTCTGTCGTTACACTACTACTATTGTGGACGGTACTTTTTTGCCATCTGTAAGGGACATGCTATTTGCTTTAACTACCTTAACTCCACTTCTGAAATTTAAGGAACTAGGCTCTCCTAAACGCTATAACAAGCATATACTAACTATTCAAAGAGATCAATGAAATGCAAGTGTGTCGAATTTTCGAAAAGACGCACAGACACACAGTGATTTTACTAGATCTGGAAACTTCTTAAAATGCATTAGTGAAAACAGAACACGCAGTTCATTAATGTCTTGAGGGGGAATTATTCATGGATTCAAAGAATGCATTAAGTCATATTATAGACATGATAAAAACATTTATGCAGCCCAACGGAAAACTGAGCTTCTGAATATGTGTGTGGTCACTAATTGTTACGCCTATATTTTAGGGTAGAGACATTTGGTGAAAACTGCATGCCCTAGTTTATCTGATTAGGATTCACTGAGCATTTCAACAAACGCAAAGATGTAAACACAAACCTCCACCTTGTGTTGTCACAGCATTCCTGATCGCCCTGAACTCTCACGTCCCCTGTGTGAATTCGCAACACAGTGGAGTTCCATTGGAATTAAACTTTCAAATTTCAAATTTGGACTACTACAATGACTGACACTATATATTGATAGAGTGCATCAGTTGTTGTCATTACCATAAAACAAGTAGTAAAAATATACTGAGAAAACTGTTATTGTTCAACTGACAACTTACCAAGATTATACCAAACATCCATTTCACCGCTAAGTGTTCTCACTTCAATAATTGTTTGACCCAAGAAATCATCCGATTCTCTTGTGAACTTTTGTCTGATTTTAGACTTTAAATCATTGTCTTCATCCCTGTGAAGAAAGATAATACAAATGCATAGATATTTCAGTGGCCATTCAAGTGCAAAACAATAGCCTCAGTAAATGAAATATCCCCATATTGAAATCAAAACAAGATTTTGAGCGAAAAATTGTTTTCGATAACTTCTTCTTCAGACTCTACAGTTATAAATCCATGAATAATAATAATAATAATAATAATTTACTTTATTCCAAAAACAGTACTTATAATACAGAATGGAATTCTCAGCATTTGTCACAATATTGCATCTGATTTACTCAAAGTGTATATAAAATTAAAAATTAAAACAAAAGTTAATCGGAGGAATTTGTCCACATTAACGACATAATTATTAGATATAATAATAAATACTAAAAACAGTGAGTTTGTTTCAAACGGTATTGTCGATTCAGTTTGGAAAATTTAGCATGTTATGGATAATTGGGTCTAATGTTCTGTTGATATGGTATAGTGAGGTGAAATACAAAGTTAACAGTCATAATACAGCTTAAAATTATGTCCACACTTATGAAAAATAAAATAAACAAAACGAAAAAATTGAGAGGATTATAAATATAAGAAATACAATAACAATAAAGTATGATGCTTTAAAGTTGAAGGAAATGGTCTATTTAGTGGTGCTAAGAAGGTTAGTTAGTTCATTTCTGACACTATTTTCATCACATAGAGTACGTGCTAAATATGGTATAGTGGAATTTTTATACTTAGACGTACGTGCATAAAGTCTTCTGAAAAGACTTCTTGTTTTACCTGAGGAGACACAAGGTTGGAGCTGCTGGTAGAGTGGGTGCTCAGAGTCTGACAAAATTCCTCTAGCGAATCTGTTGCATGACATCAAGTGCCTATCGGTGACAATGCCAACGATATGGCCCAATGGGATACCACTCGTCCTACTGACAGTCTTCAGAGTTCTACGAAGTATGACATAGTCCTTTTTTAGCAATCCAGGAAAGAATAAGGGTGAACAGTAAAGAAGAATAGGTAAAATACACGAGTTAACAAACTGTAAGAGGAGTGGTTGAGTTATGCCTGAATGCCTCAACTTCTTAATGTAAAAAGTCAGACGAAATATTCTTTGAGAAATCGCTAAGACATGAGAAGACCAAGATAGGTCAGAAGAGAGAACTAATCCAAGATACTTAACTTCAGACTTGCTTTCTATATCAGTATCATCGATTTTGCAAGGGTCATAGGAACCAACAGCTTCATTTAACTTTCGTTTACATCGGAAACTGAAATTGACAGTCTGACATTTGGAAGGATTAAGTTTAAGGCCGTTAGACGAAGACCATTTGCTAATTTCTGATAGAAAGTTGTTAATCTTAATACAGTCAAGTTGAGAGTTAACAGACATTGAAATAGTTAGATCATTGGCATACTTAACAAAGTTCATTTCATCGGAGTGAGGCAAGTCATGCAAGAAGAAAGAAAACAGAAAAGGAGAAAGGACAGCGCCTTGAGGGACACCAGCCTCAGTAAGCAATGAAGTGGACGACTTTCCCTGACATACAGTGTATTGCTTTCTTTCTGAGAAATAAGAATGGAGCCATTTGACAACCCAACAGTCAGTCTGAGTTTCAGCAAGCTTGTTTAGTAAAATGTCCCTAGGTACTGAGTCGAAAGCAGATGTATAATCTAGAAAGGTGCAGCGAACAAATTTAGCCCCCTTGTCTAAGCTGGAGACAATGTTATGATACAGGACTGCAGCTGCGTCCAAAGTACTTCTACCATGTTTGTAGGCGAATTGTTTGGGATCGTTAAAGGCTTTAAGTGAGGGCTGAAGATTAAGTAAGAGCAACTTTTCCATAGCTTTTAGAAAAGGGGAAGTAATAGCAATGGGTCTGAATTTAAAACATGTCGCAGTAGACGACTTAGGAATAGGTACAATTTTAATGTCCTTCCAAGCGGCTGGCACTACATTTTTGGAAAAAGAATCATTAAATATGTCCATGAGAGGATAACACAGGATATCTGCACAATTTTTAAGAATAACACTAGGCAAATCATCTGGACCCAGGCTACAAGAAGGGTTCATAGACTGGAGACATTTTGGAACGTCATTTGTAGTAAATCCAGGGAAGCAGGTTTCATTAATACTTGTAACACTAGAAAGTTTGGCATTCGTGGGAGAATGTATGAAGGGCTTGTTTAGTTTGGAAACATCAAGGGGAAAAGGAATACTGTTCATCTGCTCACCACCAGTAATTTCTTTGAAAAGTTTCCATATGTTAGACGCATTTTTACAGGATATGAACTTTTGGTTGTAAAATGAATTCAATCTGTGCATTTCGGACTTTATTAGGATGTTAATTCCTTTCAAACCAGCATTATCCTTCATTTTATATAATTTTTCTTTCTGTCTGCGAAGCTTTTTAAGTTGAGGAGAGGAGAAACGGTCAAATCTGATGAAGAGCGTTTCTCTGGGACAACAGGTGTCAAGACAAAATTTGAGATAACTTGTAATATTAGAGATTGTGTCATCAAGAGAGTCTTCATTAAACAGGTCCCACCTTGTATCTTTGAGCATGCTTCTGAGGTTCTGAACATTCTCCATAGAGTAACATCCATGTACAGTTTTCTTGGAAAGGTGTGAAAAAGTTCTCTTGTGTAATTTTCCATAAATTTTAGGTAAAACCTGTACAATACAATGATCTGAGTTAAACAGTGGAGCTCTTTTACGAGCTTCGTATATTGCGGAGTCATTGATTAATACAAGATCAAGGGAATTATCCAGTCTGGTGGGAAAGTTAACAACATTTTCATGACCTAACACTGTGAGAAAGCTGCAGTCACATGAATTAAAATCGCCTGTCACTATGGTCAGGGAGTTACCAAAAGAGGCGGCAGCGAAAATAGTGAATTCATCAGCAAGCATAGATAATTCTGAAGTGCTACAACAAGGTGTAATATAAATATTCGTGATATAAATGAATTTGTATTTAGATAGGTGTTTAGGTCGACATTTGACAGTTATACAGTCAATATTATCATTTGAGAATTTAAAACAGACGTTGCTGGCAACAGACCACTGAGAATTGATGAAAGTAGCGACACCGCCGCCTCGCTTCTTCCTTGAACTACTTCGGTCTTGTCTGTACATATTGAAACCACTTAGTAAGATTAAATTATCATCATATGAGTCGTGTAGCCAAGTTTCCTGAAGCGTTATTACACCTGTATTACGATAAATATTTGAATATAATAGAGAATCCAAGTGATTAATCTTGTTCGATAATGACCTGCAATTAGTGCTCATAATCACAGGAACAGTCATCTGATGCATTGGAGTACACTTTAAGGATCTTTGCCACCCACCATGATGTTTTTTCTTAAGGTTATTATATACACGTAAATTACCCGGTTGAAAACATTTTAAATAATCGCGAGAGTAAGTAACACGTTTTGGACACATAATTGAATAATTAAAACAAAATAAATCCAAGAAATCAGATGCTATATAAGTGACGGAAAATTTTGGCAGCCCAAGTTTTAAGCAGGCCGCCATAAGAAATAGAGTACATATAGCCAATAAAGGCAAATGAAAATAATATCAGAAACTGTATTGTGGTGCATGTGTAAGTTGAGATGATAGTCCATTAGTTAACATAGTCAATCAAATGTGCTTAAGGTGTATAGTCAGAAAAAATGTGATGAAGTGTGAATGAACAATTGGGTGATACAGTGCTGTTTTATAGTCAACAGAATACAAGTGTCATTGGGGTGAGAGAAATGCGATAGCCACAAAATACATACAAACACACATTAAAAAGGGGACAGTGAACGTGAGGGCTGACCGATAATGTCTAGTGATAAAATAAAGAGAAATTAAAAAAAAAATTATCCATTTCTCCACCCTGCATATTTCACTTCATTGTTACCATTAATTTTGTCAACCTTTGTGATTTTACACTAATCCTACCAACTCTGTAACATCTTATTACAATTTACAATTTAGCTTCTTTATTTTATCACTAGACATTATCGGTCAGCCCTCACGTTCACTGTCCCCTTTTTAATGTGTGTTTGTATGTATTTTGTGGCTATCGCATTTCTCTCACCCCAATGACACTTGTATTCTGTTGACTATAAAACAGCACTGTATCACCCAATTGTTCATTCACACTTCATCACATTTTTTCTGACTATACACCTTATGCACATTTGATTGACTATGTTAACTAATGGACTATCATCTCAACTTACACATGCACCACAATACAGTTTCTGATATTATTTTCATTTGCCTTTATTGGCTATATGCACTCTATTATTCATGGATTTATAACTGTAGAACCTGAAGAAGAAGAAGTTTTCAAAAACAATTGTTCGCTCAAAATCTTGTTTTGATTTCAATAGACATAGTGTTTGGCCATAAGAAGGATAACAGTGGAAGGTACAGTAGAAGTCTTTTTCTGTAAACAATGTGTGAGCCTTGCATTCCTGAGGATGAAAGTATACCTTTATAAAGCTTCCCTCTAAAAAAAAAACTTTTGAAAGCAGTACAATAAAAGATAAAGAGCTACAGAGTTATATGATTTCCACACATGTAAGTTAACTTCCCTTATGTCACTTAATCTACAGGGTAGGTTGTTTTTGAATAAGAAATAATTATTTTGACAATATTGAAATCACAAAGAACGTCTAATATCACCAGAAGCACTTCATATCAAGTGGAATCCAAATTGTCCAAACAGGAATGATAGACTAAAACAGAATGTGACCTGGTTACAACACCTTCACCACTCCCCCATGAAATGACAAAATCTACATGAATGTGATGAGCAATTACATTATGTAAACACATGTAGCTTTTATAAATTTACATACTTATCAAATCCTACAATCTACGCCCGGTTGTGTTATCTTAGCCAAATGACAACGAAAAATGCCCCCATACTGAGGAACGATGATTAAGTTGTTATATATATATGCTGAGACTTTGTAAATTCTGGTTTAATACAGCTACTTTGATAAAGCTATTAGCAGCCGCATTAAATAGCGGAACGTCAGTGGAAACAACGATATAGTTTTGTTTTTCATTCACTGGAAAGTACAAAAAAGCTTTATTATAATGAATATCATATATCCAATGCACAAAGTTTTTTTCCAAACTGTTAAAAGTGAACTTGGTTGGGACATATATCATAGTGTTTTTCTTTAAATGACCCAAAGTACCCATTGATTCATGACGAAAATGAACATCATTTCAGCGAAGAAAATTTTCTTTTCGACGAAATCATCAACTAGGCTGTACATTCATGTATTTATAGTAAATGTGTGAGAAATTCCAGAATTTTTTTCCGATGAAAGGTCAAATTAATAAAATTAATAGGGGTAATAAGCAGAAATAGGTAGTGCTACTATTCTAGAAATATTTCAGGTCAAAGGTCAAATTAAAAATTAGAATATGTAATGGTCTGGAAGGTCGGGTAGGAAAGACATAATCAGTTAGAATTATTCAGAAGTGGCTTTAGAAATGAGAATAAAAGTTTCAGAGTACGTGGTACTCTAAGGCACAATGGAAAAAAGAGTTAGAAATCTAATAAGGTTAAAGGTAGTAGAGTGTAAATTTAACAAGTGTGAAATGTACAAAAGAAACATATGAGAGTGATAATAGTGAATCAATTATTAAAGTATACTAAAAAGTGAAATTGAAAATTAATAAAATTTTTTTTCTACAGGGAACAAACAGTGAAGAGGTTAAGACCATAGTAGAATAAGATACTGGACAAACTTCTTCTGTATACAGAGATCGGGTTTGTATTGACGAATTGCCAGTGCCTCCACTGTACACATAAGCCGAAACCTAACGCCTTTTGTACCGTTTGGCCTCACCTTGTAGATGATCTTGAAAGATAACTCTGTTGGAGCTACGTGGTTTGAGTTCACTAAGTGCTCGAGGATTGAGCTAGTAACTGCCTTGCATTGTCCTTTTGCTAACCATGTCGGATAATGTTCAGAGATGCGTTTAGAAGGTGTGCACTTTGTGCAGGCAATATAAATAGCTCCCTAGGAGCATGTGAATTTATAAATACACACTGAAGTGGCTCAAAGTGGCAGTTTATCCTTCACACATCCATTGATCATTTGCCGAGTGTAGGAAGTGATCCGTAGCTAAGCCGAAAAGAAGGCTTTTCTCAGTGATCTGGATAAGCGGTTCTTCAGAAACTCAGTCGCGACCCTAACCAATGTTGTCTGTGGGACATCCATCCTCATACGTGACTGGATGGACCTCACTGGTCACGACTTCTCACTAGAAGTTGAAACTCAAAATACAATCAGTAAGTTCAGATGAATTGGATGTTGATATAAGAGGCTAGTAACAAAAGTGATGAGTTGTCACAATCGATTGTTAAAGAAGACTTACGTAATAACGTGAATAATTTGATGAAAGAGTTGTGCTCAGGGTGCACATGGAAACAAAATAACACACGGAATTACGTAAGAGTTTTAAGCAGTTAGAAAAAACAAGCAAACAAGCAAAAGTTAAGTCAAATATACAGAACTGTTACCATGATAGTAGAATTGGTTGAATAATTTTCAAAGAACACTATCCAGCGTGGCCACAGAAAGGAAGTAGTGGCCGTATAAGGAGTGCAATAATCGAACATCTCGTCACCACTGATTATTCTATCTCAACAAACGCCTCCAGCTGCAAAGCAATCTACAAAGTGAAGAACAACCTACCAAAGACAATACCTTTCCATCTTCTTTGCACTGCGGAAGCCCTAGGCATTCAACTGGAAGAACCAGAACTATGCATACAAAAGAAAATTATTCAACCATTTGTACTATCATGGTAACAACTCTGTTGATTTAAGTTAACTTTTGCTGGTTTGCTTGTTTTTTCTAACTGCTTAAAACTCTTACGCAATTCCGTATGTTATTTCGTTTCCATGTACACCCTGAGCACAACTCTTTCATCAAACTATTCAAGTTATTATGTAACTCTTCTTTAACAGTCGTTTGTGACAACTCATCACTTTTGTTACTACCCTCTTATATTAACATCCAATTCATCTGAACTTACTAACTGTTTTTACGTTTGACAAATCTAATGTACACACACATACAAAACAACCATATATATTTGCAGTTGTACAGCTATGAAAATGAATTCGCCGGAGAAAAGAGACTCTTCGCTGAACTACTGGTCTTCTGTCTATTAATGTTCGAGTTTTCATGAATCTATTAGTTAATTGTTTTGATGACCTTTAACCTCTTAATTTTCAACCCCCCTCCCTATCCCTGAAACTGATTAACTAAACTAACCACTTGATTGGTGAGACATTTTGAAGTAAAAAACTATGTGATGCGAAAAGATATAACAATCAGTTGCTTGGAGATATTGACTTTTATATACAAAATATGTAAGCATAATACTTACCAGACACGAAGTTTAATACGTTCTGAAGCATTGTCACATTCACTGAAAGAAGAAGGAAAATAACACAACTGAAAGTTATTAACAAATTTACACATATCCAATAGAGATTAATGATCTGTGAGTCAATTACATTTACGATGATTTTCTGACTGTATTTTTTTCCCACCCATTCATGTGAAAATTCAGTTAGTTTCCAGTATCCATTTTTCTTTGTTATTTTATGCGACAATCAAAGTGGCATCATTTTGAATACACTCAAGCTTCAAATTTATTAATCTAAAGTAGAAGCAAATCCCAAATAACACAAGTGGTCTACCTAGATCTCTTCCTTGAAATCTAGCACACATCCAAGTGGTTTATCTTCAGTTTAGATGAACAAGTGTAACTTAGTGTTGACAAAGTAGACAACTTTACCGTTTCACTCTTAATGTCACGAATAATGCACATGGTCCGGGGTTCGATCCCCGGCCACTGGCACACTCCTTTACCTCGCTAAGCCAGAAATAATGCTGGTGAAGAGGAAAGGTTGGGCATGAGGCTAGCAACCCCATCCTGTAAAATAAACACTGCTACAGAAACTTCAAGCGTATAGCTTGAAGCCCTATGTTCCACTGGGAACGTGAAGGAAAACAAAATCCCGAATAATTCCTTTTCAGAATTGGGCTATAGCCAAGAAACAGTCGTCTGATAGTGGATCAACGAACTTGCTGTATACTGATCTGTCAAGAAGAGAGGTAGTAGTCAGTAAGATCAAAGGCAAAAGATTTACTTAATTTGGTGACAAATTTTATGATGTAATTTAGAGTTCCAGAGGGAGGGAGATAACCCAAGCTTCTAGAAGACAGAAGTTACACACACAGTTGATATGCACCCACAAACAAGATGCCTTGAAGCAAATGTTCGTTATCTAAGGAAGGTGTCCTGTACACCTTGTCGACACACTTTGATAGTCATCTAAATCTAGTGAATAATATTTACTAATCGAATCAAGCTGATTTTTTAATCGTTATAATGGAATAGAAGATGGTTTCAGTGCTGGTGAACACTCAATCGTTTGTTTGTATGAACTGGTCTCCACACTGGCGGGAGACAAGAAGACTGTCATTGCTTAGTCATGTACTGGTTGGCAGATTGGAGAAATACGATTGGAAGCATTGTTGTACATTCTATTAACGCTTATTTAATGACTTCGGCACTGATTAACCATTGTAAATCTGTTTTATTATCATATGGAGAATAAACGCTTGTGTTGTTCAACCGTTTTCTGTTGTTCTGCGTTGGTTACAGTGCATAGTGTTCTGTGGATTAGGTTTAGTGTTCTGAAACCAGTGATAGGTCTAGGATCTCTGGGATCTGGGTACTTGACGGATGGATTTAAATACTATCCAAATAACTATACTTCTCAAAGCTATCAAATATTGCATCGTTATGAGCATTAATGTATGCATTTATATTCATATATATGAAAAGTTGTTAATTAATATAAATGATGAAAACAGTATCTTAATTATCACAGCCTCTTTCCTGTTCTGTACAAAATAGCCTTAATGAGGTGCATGTCTAGTAGAATTCAACGAAAATGCAATGAAGATACACCTGAAGATGAGGAAAGGTAACTGAAAGAAATTCTGGTCATTGATAATTATCGAGAGAAGTTCGTCAGGAGTTTTAAAGTGATCAGAACACCAAGACTAATTCTTCAACTCGCCGCTAAGAACGACGTATATGTCAAGCTACCCTATATGGGTGACCATACTGGCTTGACGGCTAGACAAAGGTTGAATGCAGCTGCTGAAAGAGACGTTTAATGAATCTTTGATCCGAATAATTGAGTATGTGAAGCCTACATATCCATCTAAGTTCTTAGGACATAGGAAAAGTAATGTAACAACTCACTGTATCTACCAATTTCAATGTACTTGAGGTCACATATATGTAAGTAGCGCTCATCGATTTTCGAAAGTAAGAGTTTCAGAGGATAATGCTGAATGACTTTAGAAGCAAATCAAATCCCCTGCACTCATTAATAGTGAGAACAGATGACGACCTAGCTCCTTTATTTTGAAACGTACTATAGAAACAGGACATAAAATTGATTTCTCTATAGGTCTTTCAAAGCTATCTATAAAACGTGTTTAGGACGTATCCTAAAGTTTATAGAAGCCATAGCTAGCAATTAGGAAGTTTAAACCACCTTTATGCATTCATCGAAAACTATTCGTCATCATCACACCAAACCTTTCTTGGCAAACTTTGTTTTGATACCAGCCAGGGCAGCCGTACTATTACCTTTGTTATTTGGTTAAGTGATCTCCAATGATACTTTCACCAACAATACGGTATTTTAGCCTTATCTCTGTCTAATCTCTCACCTCTTCAGTTATTCATTATTTTCATATGATATGTAATACGTTCGCGTGTGATCAGATTGTTCGAAATGTGGTGAGCAAATACAGTACACGACTGTGATGAATTATTTCTTCTTATTGTTTCGTCGAAATTCATTAAGGGAAATAATTGTTTCAAATTATACATATATATATATTTATCAATATTTAGGTTACATAATTTCTATCGTAGCGCCATTCGAGGTTGTGACAGGTGACTGAGTTAAGCGCTACAAGTTCCTTTACTTTCGAAAATTTTGATGTGGTTGTGTTCTCTGAGCTGGATGGTTTACTTGCAAAGCTTTCATTGGCCTGCCAGGCAACATCGTCAGAGCATACTTCAATTTGTTGAAGTGAGCTTTTAGATTTCTATACGAGTTTATCAGTCGTCCTTCCTGGTCGCCTTGAACGTGATTGGTTACTCTTGTCTGTCTTCAGACCCTCTGGTCTATTTGGTCAAAGTGGACGCTCTCCTCTTCGTCTTTGCATGGATTATTAGAAACTAGCCGTCAAAAGACATGATATCCACTCCGTCATATCTCTGCATAAAGACAGCCAGGGACATCAATTCGACTGGAAAAACGCTCAAATATTAGAGAGAGAAAACAACAAGAACTCCAGAAAAATTCTGGAAGCCTGATATTCCAGTGAATTGGTACATTGACATTGATAAAATTTATCAGTCCATGAGAGGAAAATCTCATACATAAAATGTCAAACTTCAGGTCAAGGAAGCAATCAGTACTAATACAAATAGACTGGAGGGCGTGAAGACAGACAAGAGCAACCAATCACGTTCAAGACCACCAGGAGAGACGACTGATAAACTCGTATAGAAATCTAAAACCTCACTTCAACAAATTGAAGTATGCTCTGACGATGTTGCCTGGCAGGCCAATGAAAGCTTTACAAGTAAACCATCCAGCTCAGAGAACACAACTACATCAAAACCATCTACGTGAGCTACCGAAAAACAAAAACACCTATCATTGTGTTCAAACTATTGAAATGTAATAACAATTTATTTGATTTTAATTTAAGATGGCCAAGAAAACACACTGATACGTGAATATAAATCATAAAGTTGTGTCCATGTAGGAGGATTCGAAAGGTGTACTCAATCTAATTTCCATCCAAATAGAGTATATTCAGTCGCTGCGTTAAATCATACCGGCTAAAACCCTAATGATTATACGTTTCTGCATATTTACATGTAGTAACAACAATAAGCGGACTGGATTAGTGAGCGCAGAAATATTGTCGCCTTATTCTCGAGTTTCTTCTATTTGACTTTTCCATTGATACACGAAGTTATCATTGCTTTTTCTAAGACTTTTCTGTGTATTTTACCTATAATGAGATAAGTGGGGTATATCAAAGTGTCAGTATTATTATTATTGTTCTCTTGGGTTCCTAGTGGAACATAGGGCTTCAACTACACATCTCCGCTTGCTTCTGTCTTCTGCTGTACTTTTCACCTGCGTCCATGTTAGTCCATACTGTTTCTTCTTCTCCATATCACCCTTGGACGTCTCACTCGCCGCTTCCCTTTCGGGTTCCACTCGAGCAATGGGCTGACGCGCGATGTCACCCAGCGGCCTCCACAGCGAGTGTCCAATCCATTTCCACTTTCTCCTGTATATTTGTTGAGCGATTGGTTCTTGTTTTGTTTGTTCCCATAGTTCCTTGTTGGTGATTCTTTCCGGCGGCCATCTGATCTTCAGTATAGAAGAAGTATAGAAGACAGTTGTTGATAAAGGTGTGCAACAGGCTGTTAGAAATATTCTTTGTGACCCGTCACCAAGTTTCTGATCCTTACGTATAGAAGAAGTGACTGACTTGACGTTTGTATTGAAAATTCGAATTTTGTTGTTGATGCAGGCTGAGTGACGAAGATTTTCAGATTGGTTTCAGGTTGATGAATGTGTTTCTCGCTTTCCTGATTCTCGATTTGACATCCTCGTCCGTCCATTCCTCCTGTAGTTGAGACAATGCTCCCTAGATAAGTGAATGAAGTAACCTCTTTCAAATCCCTCCCGTTGATGGTGATTGGCGCTGTATGTTGCTGCTGTTGTTGTTGGTTGGTTATTTTCATAACCTCTGTCTTGTCAGTAATGTATAATAATAATAATAATAATGACAATAAATAAAGTAGAAGCCGACAGTAAATCACATGATGCGGTGCTGTTGCACCTGAAGTAGGATTCAGTCCTCTATGACATTATTCCTCAAACTCCTTCAAGAATCTTAAAACGATACGTAGAAAACTAATTGAATATGTGTGTAAGTTAATACATGGGTTCAAAAACACAATTGGATAATTCGGACAATTAAATGTGAGGAGTTTATGTATGTCCAATCAAATGCTTGCGAAAAGAAGTCGACAGCATAGATAACCCATTCCATTCAATGAACTAGGGAAGTTTATTACCCTAGACTCAAACGATATCTGAACTACCAACCAGTCTTAAGTTTACCGGTCAAATGATTACCTGCCGACTGAAAAAAAGAGATTCAATGTAGAAACCTAGTCAATCACTTCAGTAAATTTATCTTGACAGAATATACAATGATGACTGGTTAGATATCTGCAGATAGACAATTGGTTGCTTTTGGATTCATACCCAGATCAACTGAAGTGGAAGTTAGACAACGTAGACTGTATGTATCTGAGATATAATCATAAGACTGCGTTTAGCCTTCTTTTGAACCTTAAATATGCATTGACAACACACAGTGTTTATATAATTAGGTGCTTTGACAGCGCAACAAATCAGGAACCTCTTTAAGATTATACAGAGGGTAAAAAGATGTTTGAATGTTTTAATTTTAGTTCCTGTCACGCGTTTAGTAAGGAGACAATACAGTTGGAGCTACTTTCATTCTACGTTTTCCCGTCTTCATTTTTAAAACACTTTTAAAATGCAACACAGAAACTAAGGAAAAATAGTGAAAACAAAAAGTGGTAAACACTTCAATATAATATATATGGCAATTTATTGATTACTTACAAGAGAAATTTTTCATCCCAGGTTGGATTCAATTCTTGTAGGACAGTTTTAGTGCGTTTACGCATTTTACCAACTTGTACTGTTACATAAGGATCACTTCGTCCAGTTTTATCCTTACCAATTAATCCCTGAGCAGATTTCACTTGAACGATCGATCAATTGCGCGAAGACGTTAGAGGCGATGGCAACGATGACGAAGAGTGGAGTGAAGATGATTAGATTAGGAGAAATAGAAAATGGACGTTATGCGGGATTAGTTTGCGCTAGGTAACATAAATGCAATAACTACTACACAACATTTAAAGTAAAGGGTATTTATTTATTTATACGAAGTGAAACGATGACAGTTGTTTGTTATCTTTACATTCTTTTCCCCTCTTCCAAATGAATAACCATCCCATTCAGAATAAAATTTGCTAATTTAACAAAACGATTCATTTTGTTTGACGAGTTGATCACGGATTGATACCAGTTAGAGAACCATTGAAAACTAGCAGGGAGTACTGGACAGCCAGCTGTTGCACCCTAGTTTGGGAATCATCGGCAGTACGCACCCACTACCAGGGTTCGAACCTAGGACCTTCCGGTTACAAGGCGAGCGAGCTCGTATACCATTTAGCCACTGGGACCTTATCCAATAGCCCAAGAATTATAGCTTCTACCAATTCGTAATTTAGCGTGACTGGCACCGACCAATATTATTGTTGGGACATCCTTTCTCACAATTCACTGGATAGACCTCACTGGTCACGAATTCGCACTAGATTTCCGGGAACTCCGTCCTGTAGCCAGTCACTAGTGAGCATCAGATTAATTTTCAACAGTTTTGTTTGCAAGGATTAGACTGGTTCATGCTTATCAATCATTAATAAAGTGTGAATATCTTAAATCAAATAAAACTAGTGACAGAGAATATGTTTTGGTAAGCAGTAAGAGGGACTTCTAGCAGCCAGGGAATGACACTTTGTTCAAGATAGGTCGATGGTGCACACGCTGTAGAGACATTCGTTTGTCATCACAATTTGTGGTATGAAGTGGAATTTGAATGGGAAGCTACACTTCAACTGTGTCATGGAGATCATAAGAAGAGAAAATGATAGCTTGTTGGCAGTCAGGGAGCCATATATGTTCAAAGCAAGTTCACTTTTAACAGTTTGAAAAAACAATTCGGGCATTGGGTATATGATATTCATTATAATAAAGGTTGTTTTTGTATTTCCCAATGAATGAAAAACAAAACGATATTGTTTCTACTGACGTTTTGCTATTTAATGCTAATAGCTGTATCAAAGTGATGTGATGCAATATACATCGGACAGACATCTCGAAAAATCAAAATCAGAAGAAATGAACACCGTAGAACATCTGTTCGACCAACGAGAAATCCAGTTGAACTAGAAAAGCTTGAAAAATCATCAGCCATAGGACTGCATGCTATAGAATCAGGCCACAAAATTGATTTTGACAATATTGAAATAATCCAGAAAAGGCATTTCAGAAATCACAAAAAAGTCTAATATCGGAAGGACTTCATATCAAGTGGAATCAAAATTGTCTAAATAGTCTGAATGATGGACTTAAACAGAATTTGACCTGGTTACAACACCACACCCACTCCCTCATGAAGTGACAAAATCATTGTGATAAGCAATTTCATTATGTAAACACACGCTGCTTTTATAATTTTATACACTTATCAAATCCTACAATCTATACCTGGTTTTATTATCTTTACCAATTGGCCAATTAGACAACGAAAAATAAGCCCATGCTGAGTAACCATCGCGTTCTGGAATTCTGCTTTCGTTGAAGGATTCTCTGCTTGTTGTAGGTGGTAGTGGTATTTCTCGATCAGTTGCAAGTGATGGTAGATTCAAGAGTCTTGTGAATTGATCAGCTCACTGTTTCCTCTGCTCCTCCTCTCCAATAACTAGTTTCTCTTGATCATATTTTATTGTTTTTATCATCTTGATTGATCTCCTCCCAAACAGCAAGCAGCCTTGTTATCTGATATAATGTCCTGTGGTCTCTTTTACCTGCACTCTGCCTGTTCTGCTTCAGTTGCCAGCCAGTGTGTTGCAGAATTGTCTTTTGTCTATCCTAGCACTCTTCTTCACTTCTCTCTTTATTCAGTGCAGTGTACACTGAACTCAGCTTTTCAACTTCTTCCTGGTTTCAGCAATTCCTAAGAAAATTCTAATCATCTCTGCACTGTGTTACACACCAGAGGAAGTTGAAAATCATTTATCAACCTAGTGGAGAAATGATGAAATACTGCCTTTGCAACTTTATGACTGTAGATTTAATCTACTAGTGGGTCGTGCACATTCCTGGAATACAATGAACCAATTCTTCATCCGATACGGATTGGTAAAAGAACCTATCTTGGAGTCTTGAGAATGTTTAAACCTCTTTTCACAAATCGCATGAAAGAACGTTTAAAAATAGTACACACAGCATATTGAATACCTTTCCGAAATCTCTAATATACACTTTTACTTTTGCTGAGCTGTATTTGTCTTGTCTGTGTGCCTGAGATGCATATGCACCACTGAACAAAGGCTAAACAGCTAACTGCTCTTTACTGAAGCGCACCCAATGTTCCCACTAATGGAGAGTTGTATATACTAGAGATTGAAGGCAAAATAACGCTGAATGGCGATACATGCACACTGAATGAAGCTGATAAACTTGAATATTACCTCAGTAATGCCAATGGCCTGTGTTAGGATGATAAGATAAGAACTTAGAGAATTTAGAATCCAAGCAGTCATTTAATTGTAACCTGGTGGGTGAATGATCAGTGGGATAGCCTGGTCACAAGAAGGCTGTGAAGTAAGTTGTGAGGACTCACTTCTGGAAATTCGCAAACTAGGATCAAACAACCACCTGACACCCTCTGGTTATCAGCAGTTTTGAAAATGGTATCAGTTCATGACGGAATCTACTTTCGAAAACACAGGCTGTACCACAAAGTTTCGTGGTTGTGAACCCAATCTCATGCATATATAAGGTCTTAAGTGATAAAGAGACATAGAAACAGTTGGCGAATTTCCAGCCGTTTCTATGGGAAGAAAGCTTTTAGACTTTAATCAATTCTAGTAACTTTTATTGATGATTTTTGAGGACTAAGGCAAAAGGATAAGGATCCTGATGCATTTTATTAAATGTAAGCACATGACTCCAATTAGAATGTCTGCGGAAGCAACACAAATTTTTCTCTTGAACAGTACTCATTTTTGCTAGAAAAATTAAGCTAAGAAAAAAAGACTTGAATAATTAAGCGGTAATTAGCCAAGTAAAAATTCACCCAGAAACTGGAAAAATGAGCTGCCTAAACTAATCAGACATCAACAGACAGATTTTTTAAATTTCCATTCAAGCTAGTTAGCTTAGGCGTTTCACTGGCAGTGGTGTTTTTTACAAGATGGGGTTGCTAGCCTCATACCCAATCCCTCTTCTTTTACCGGGCTTGTTACCGGCTAAGCGAAGTAAGGGTATTCGTCGCATGATGATCAGATGACGGCCCAATTGCGTGGTTGGCCAGCAATCGGTCGGTCGGTTTTCGACATAGAACTTTGCACATATGTGCGGCAGTTCAAGTCACTACACGCCATGTAGCACACAAAGCAATAGAAGAAAGTAGGAGAAATACATATTAGAGACAGTAAACAGAGGTGTGAGACAAAGGAATAGTAATAACGAAGAATAATATAGTTTCATCAGAAGTTATAAGTCACGAGGAGTGGATGCATCTGCGCCAGCCATTGAGAACAATGAGTTTGAGCCATATCACCAATTGTTTCCAACCATCGGTTTTTACCGTCCCCAACCAGTCAGGAAGTCTACATCTTCCTACGTGGCTTAAACTAACTGTTGTGGATTTCATTGACTGGTGCCATGTTTTAGTTTGACTACCGCTAGCTCTTTACCAGTCTGGCCCTATGTCATCTAACATTGCCCACTGTCGAGGAAAACGATGACTAGGCATACGTAACACATGTCCTAACCATCTCAGTCGATGTAATTTCACAGTCTCGTCGGTTGATTTCCCCTCCTTACCTAGCACTCAACCGAAGCCTCACCTCAATATTGCTCACCTTATTATACCACTTCACGCGGGAGATAGAACGCAGACACCTATGATCGAAGGCAGCTAATCTTTTCATGTCTTCTGCTCTTAATGGCCAGGTCTCACAGCCATAAAGGAGGACGGAGTGGACTGTTGAGCAGTACACATGCCCTTCGGTCGATAGTCGGATATCGCGTCTACTCCAGAGACGGCGAACCTAGCCCTCTGTATTCGTGCTGAGATTTCGTCGGAGATCAACCCGTTGAGGCTGATGGTACTTCCCATGTAAGTGAAGCGGTCAATGTGCTCTACCGCTTCACTTCCTATTTCTAATCTAGGGGTCGGTGAAGTCCAATCCTGCAGCATCATCTTACATTTTACAGGGGCGAATCGCATGCCAATTGGCCAGCAATACAGATAGACATCGATCTAGACAGATAGACACCATTAACAACACTGTTCAGAGAGGAAAAAGCGCGATCATTCACAGGGAGCCATAGTAATACGATTAGTATTCACAAGCTGGTGGCCAAATAAATGGAAAATGTAAGTAAATTAATGTGAACATTCTCTCTAAACATTTTATCAAAAATTTCATTTGTCTAGGGACTATTAAAGCGTCTATAACGTGAAATAGGAAAGAGAGAGAAACTGCATGTGTGTGTGTGGAAAAACTATGGTATTTTTGTTTACTTTTCCAAAGCATATATACATATATATTTAAGATAAATGATTTATGAAAAAGGAAGACAGTAGAATGAACACTATTCACATTTCTGTGTGTTTCATGCTTGGTTTAATTCAATTCAGGAAAAATAAAATTTTTATCTTTGAGGTTTGTTTGTTGATGGCTTATCACAATCGATATCCGCATAAAACAATTAGGGAAGAGTGAGTATTATGGGAAGAGAAAGTGAGAGAGAGAGAGAGAGTAGATTCAATCTATGCCAGGTATAATTTCATTTCTGTAGGTCAGTGCAACGATAACGACAACAACAACACATCTCCCATTGTTCTTCATCTTTTGTTTTTCTCATTTACACCGATTAACTGAAACGGTTTCAATGCTG